GAGGGAAACTCGGATGCCCCTCTGACTCTCACGGACATGACTGGGGTCCACTCAGCACCCCAGCAGAATGTAACTTCTACCTGTCCCAGGATTATGGTGACATGTGGAAATGGGAGTGGAGAGGATCTAATGAGGGCACCTCTTTAGGAACCTGGCAGGGAAGGAGAAAAGCTGCTAGCCTGGGTGGGAGTTCCTGAGTCGAACTCCCCGCCTGGGTTTAATGAGCCCCCTGAGCTCTGTGTGGCCACTTTTCACCACCTTTTATTTGGTCAGACAGGGGGCTCAATACATCTTTAGTTCTGTGGACTCCCCTAGTGGAGTTGTTGGAGGAGAAAGCTTTTTGCAAATGATTGGAAAGCTCTTTGCAAATATAAAGTGCTTATTTAGATGCAAACTAAAAATCCAAGGTGCCTGTGACTCATCTGGTACCTATTGTGCTCGCTGCAAAGACACGGAGGATTGCCTGTGTGATGGGTGCCATTTGAGAGCCACTTAAAGAACTCCCTGGTGAATGAATTTGGTTGCATTATTCCCGGGCTCCTCGCGGAGGACTCTGATTCTCAGCGCTGAGATCATGTCCTCCTGCTCTGACATTCTCAGCCCTCTCCCTGAGGTAGTGCTGACCCAGGATGCACAGGGAGGGGCTGGTCCCCTGGGGAGGCAAGGAGCTTGTGCTCACTAGGACTTCCCACTCTGCTTTTTTTTTTTTTTTTCAAATAAAGAAAAGGCATTAATCCAAGCATCCAGAGCTATGCCTAAGAATCTAATGACAATAGTATTACTTGCTTCAAAAGCCCTTTTTATCATTTTCCTTTCTTTCCTACAGTCTTTACCACCCAGTTATTACAAACCAGGGCTTCATGACCCAAAAGTACTGAATCCATTTGGTCAAGTTTGTCAGACTGGTGACTGGCATTGTGTGAATACTAAAGGTTTGCATGAATGACTGCATTTTTAATGAATTGACCAGCTATTTGGCATCACATGAACAGGACTTAATGCTGTGTATTGTAAACTGCTGTGAAGCGTAATAGAGACAGCTTTTCCAAGGATTATTTTCATTTCTAGAATGGGATGGGGGCTCTGTTTTGAGGTCTGGTAAGAATTGGCTTACCCACCTCCACTGGGATCCAAGGAATGTCTGTGTCCCTTCAAGTTTCAGGTAGGTCAGTGCTATGCATCTAGGAGTTTTCCTAATTGGGACAGAAGCCAATTCAATCAAGGCTTTCTCTTGTAAGTTGTATTTTACATGGAGAAAGCGGCAGCAAAATGGTGTTCTTGTGAATTTAGGAAAAGGTGCCTCCCTCCAGGCTGACACCAGTATTGACAAATGAAGCACTAGCTGAGTTTTGTTTCCCACACCATTGAGTAGGACACATGGGGCACAGCTTCAGCCATTACAGCCATGTGTATGTGAATATGTGTGGGTGGAGTGTACAAGCACCCAATCAAGAGGCTAGGGAGCTGCCCCAGTGCTTCTCCTAGACGCTCTCTATAATGCAATTCTTCTCTCCTTCCTGCCAAGGCTCTCATGTCTTTCCTGAAGATGTCTGAACACTGGCTGACCTCAGACAGTGACCACGGAATTCAGTTTACTATTCTTTGTTTAAAGTTCTGTAACTGGAGTTCTGGTGTGGAGCTGCAGGATAATGTGCTGAACCACAGGTCAGTTTGAGCAGAAAGGTCAGTGGTTCAAATCCACCAGTTACTCCTTGGAAACCCTATACTGGGTCGCTATGAGTCGGAGCTGACTCCATGGCACTTAACAACAATGCTCTGTAATAGACACATAAGGAGACTGATGGGTGATAAGAAGTTAGGTCTAGTATCTGTGTTCGGGGAGGTGAAGGTGATGATCAAACAAACCATCACTATCCACTACTTTTGCAAATAATATTCTTTTAAAAAAAATGTACGAAATATCCAGAAATCATACAAAAGACTTAGAAGTTATCAAAAGAGTTCTATTCCCAAAGAGCTGAAAATGTATCAAAGCAATCCTTATACTTTCTATTTTAAGCAGTTTTATTGAAATATGATTTACACACCACACAAATCACCCATTTAAAATATATAATTGCTATTGAATTGTATATGTTAATCTATTTATAAAATTATGTAACTGTAGTTAGTACATGTACAGTGCATTTAGTATATTTACAGAGTTATGCAATCGAATCCCTTTATTTTTAAAAATACTCTTCAGTGATATTATTTCCAACATTTTGGACACATTCTTTAATTTCCTTTCTTAGTTGGACAGCCAAATCAAAGGATATAAGTCAAAAAACCTTTCAGTTGGCTGGATGGTTTGCACAATAAGATGGTGTCCATTCTTGGCTTGTTATTGTTAGTAAGTGCCATTGAATTGGTCTGACTCATAGTGGCATCATTTGGCAGAGCAGAATGTCCCCATAGAGTTACCGATGCTGTAATTTTTTATAGGAGCAGATCACCAGGTCTTCATTCCATGAAGCTGCTATGTAGGTTTGAACTGCCATACTTTAGGTTAGCAGCTGCACACTTAACAATTGCTCTACCAGGACTCCAATTCTTTGATTATTGTTCAAAATTCCCATTTTAGCATATGAAAGGTAGTTTAGGGATGTCAACACAGGACACAATATTGGGCCTTGTGAATGGCAGACATGGAGAAGTGAGGAATGCCTGCGTTAGGATCTCTAGTGAAAGGCAGATTGGAGAGGCCAGGGCAGAGTTATAGAGAAAGTATTTGAGTTCTGAGGAAATAGAATCAAGTTGGAGGAATCTGGAAGGGCCCCTTGGAAAAGGAGCAGTCGTAGTAGAACTTTGGACACAAAAAGGTGATAAGGCAATCTAAAAGGAGATGAGATTGAGATCATGTTGTGAAAGTTACCAGGTTGTGGAGGTAATTTTAACATTTATTTGATCATGCCAAGGAGACACCGAAGGGTTTTGAGTGGAGCAATGGACATTGGAACTATGAGAGTGGTGCGAAGGACCAATTAAGGGGTTTTGGCAGAAGTCCAGGTGAGAGATCATGTAAGCCTAAGTTAAACAGGGGCAGTAAGTATAAAAATGTAGGAACAGTTTTGAAAAAATGGAAAAAGTGGCATTGCATCTGTAATCACAGAGTACTTAGACATGGGAAATGAAAAGGAGGAGAGAGGAGACAAAACCCAGGATTCCAGGAGAATAGCAGTGTCAAAGAGAGATCATCAAGTCAAGAGGAAAACCTTGAAATGTTTGATTTTGGACACTTTGAGTTATAGGGACCAACGGGATCTTAAGGTAATAATGTGATGGAGAACTCAGGAGAGAAGTTAAGAATGTGACTAGAGATCTGGGGAGTCTTAACATAACACTTTAGAATTTTAACTTGGAGTTAGACAGACATGGGTTCAAATCCTGGCATTGTCCCATACTAGCTGTGTGACATTGTGCAAATTCTTTAATTTTTCTAAGAAGCTAGAAATAAAGATACTAATAGTTATTATTATCTATTTGTTGTTAAGTGCCTCAAGTTGGTTCCAATTCATAGTGAATTGCATAGCATAGGGTTTCTGAAGAGCAGCTGGTGGGTTTGAACTGTTGACCTTGCGGTTAACAGTTCAGTGCTTATCCTAGAGCACCACATCAGAACTCTAGTTATTATTGTAAGTAATACTATTTTAAAATAAAGACAACAAGACTTCTTTCAAAGATGAAATGGATTGATGTGCATCAAAGCATTAGCACAATGCCTGGAATGTGGTAAGTTCTCAATAAATGGATGATGTTATTTAAGGTCACCTGTTAGAGCTATAGAAGCCCTAGTTGTAAAATGATTAAGATCTTGGCTGCTAACCAGCTTCTCTGAGGGAGAAAAGTGGCTACTTCTATAGAGATTTGCAGTCTTAGAAGCCCTATGGGACAATTCCACTTTGTTCAAAATGGTTGCTATGAATTGGAACCATCTCTCCAGCAGTGGGTTTGCTTTGATGTTGGACTGGAGTGGGATGATGGTATCACTGGGAGAAACAGTATATAGAGAGAACAGATGGGAGGGAAGGGAGATGGAAGAGGGCTTAGAGAAGGAAAGGATGGAGGCTACTAACAAATTAAAGAGACTAGAACGAGGACAGTGAATTCAGGTACTCTTAGGTGGATGGAGTCTGATGCCACTATGGGTTAGGCATTGGATTATTTACCTCAAGGTCTGCAATTGAAATCCACCACCTGCTCCACAGGAAAAATAATGAAGCTGTCTGCTCCTATAAAGATTTCCAGTCTCAGAAACCTTAAGGAGCAGTTCTGCTCTGTCCTCGAGGGTCACTATAAGTCAGAATTCACTTGGTGGCAATGGGTTTAGTGGGTCGGCTTTAAGTGGATAGAATGGGATCAAAGTCAGAGAAATACACTCCAGTAACCAAAAAAGAAATTTAAAAATAAGTTCATTTCTTGCTTCCTTTCATTAACTCTATAAAGAAAATACATAGATCACAGTCATATTCTTCGAAATTGCCTTTCTCCCTCATTCACTAATTTCCCTTCTCCCTCATTGGAATCCCTCCCTTGCTCTTCTCTCTCTTTTTCCTACCCCTCTTCCAAAAAAGAAAATCCCAACAAGAGAAAAAGATCCTCCCCAACCCAAGTTTGCTCACTTCCTGTTCATGTCTTCCCTCCTTTTCCCTCCCAATTAAAAATCATATAAGCCTCAAAGCAGGGTGTTCAGCACAATCAGAATCTACTTTTGGGAGCAAGGGAAGAGAAGAAGTAGACTAGGAAAGATTATAGGCTACTTATTTCTCTCCAGTCACAGGGGTCTATGCTTACCCATAAACCATAGTTTAAAAGAAAGGAAGGAAGGAAGGTCCCACAAGGAAGATGGTGGCAGATTTCATCTGGCCCCATGAATCCAGTGCCCTCAAATGCAGCCTGTGGCTCAGAAACAGGAAAGCAGCTTCCCTGGGCTAGTTTTCTTCTGCCCATCCCATGTGGACCTCTTCTCTCCTGAGCCTGAAGGGGAATCCCAGCCCTACCTGTCGATGCTGATGGCACAGAGGTTCAGGATGCTGGCGGTACACATCATGACATCAAGGGTGACAAAAACATCACAGCAAACACGGCTGAAATTCCAGACTCCGCCTGTCACCTGGGCATCAGAGACAAGGATATTAGTGTTTTTCCCAGCAAAGCAACAGCAATCCAATCAACTCTATGGCCTTTTCCAAGCTACCAGGCACAGATGCTGACATGCCCTCTCTGTGGTTGGTACCATCATTACCATAGGGTGGTCAGGCATTGAAAGAGTGCCAGGCTGCCCAAGATTGGTCATTCACAAAAGGGCAAATTCACAGAGGACTGTTAGGACATTAGTGCTGGAAAGGATCATCTAAATCAATTAGCTCAGTATTATTCCAATTGTTGTTCATAGTAGGCTGATCATTAAAGATAAAGATTCCTGAGCCCTTCCCTAAACCTACTGAGTCAAAATCTCTGGACCTGGGGCTTATGAATTTCCATTTAAAAATCAACACCCCCAGTCACACCTAGGTTTGATCATCACGGATCTAGTTCAAACTCAGGAGGCAACTAAAGCTGCTCGTGGTTAAGCGATATGCCCAGAGAGGCACAGCTGGTTGTAAAAGAGCTTGGATGACTGCCAGATGTGTGTACTGTGCCAAAACTGCCTCTCCACGCAGTAGAGAGCTCCCCATGTACCCAGGAAATAAGCCGAGAGCACATTTTTCATAAAACTTACATCCAGAATGAGAACTGATCTGGCTCCTGATTTTAAAGCTTGGAAGCATCCTGCAACAACATCTCAAAGAATCTGTGTATAAACGGTCTATGCCAGTATGCCTGCCTTGGACAGCCTTGTTCAAATCATCAAGTAGTGAGGAAAAAAGCTGAGTGTAGGGGATAGGTGTGGAGTCCTGGTATGCTGTAGGATAATGCGCTGGGCCACAAAGTCAAGGTCGATGGTTCAAACTCACCAGCTGCTCCTTGGAAACCCTATACAGGGTTGTTATGAGTTGGAATCAACTCGATGACACATAACAACAAAGGGGATTGGGAAGGATCATGGATCCTTCTCTACCACACACAGAATTAGCAAGGCTGATCCGAACCTCATGCATTTACATGTGTTCTGAGTTTATTAAAACATCAAGAGTTTAGGTAGTTTAATTTATAGACTGTTGTTGGGTGTTGTGGATTTGGCCAACAACTCATGATGATCCCATGTACAATGCTGCCTGGTCCTATGTCATGCCCAGATCTGTTATGGGTAGAATTGTTATGATCCATAGGGTTTTCACTGGCTGATTTTCGGAAGTTTATCACTTAGCCCATCTTAGTTTGAAAGCTTCCTTGAAACCTACTCAGTCTCACAACCCCATTGCCGCTGAGTAAATTTCCACTCATAGTGACCTCATGGAACAGAGTAGAACTGCCCTGTAGGGTTTCCAAGGCTGTAATCTTTATAGAAGCAGACTGCCACATCTTTTCTCTTGTGGGACAGCTAGTGGGTTCAAATGATGGCTCCACAAGAGTTGCATTGTTTTGAAATCAAACCCAGATCTCCCACATGTTGTTAAAGGGTGCTGTTGAGTCAGTTCCGACTCAACAGCACGCTTTAACAACATGTGGGTTAAGTGTTTTGTTCCGACTCATAGCAACAGCAGAACAAAACACTGCCCAGTCATGCAACATCCTCACAATTGTTGTGATGTTTAAGCCCATTGTTGCAACCATTGTGTCAATTCATCTCATTGAGGGTCTTCATCTTTTTCATTGACCCTCTGCTTTACCAAACGTGATGTCTTTTTCCAGAGACTCATCCTTCCTGATAACATGTTCAAAGTACAGGAGAGTCTTGCTATCCTTGATTCTAATGAAAATTCTGGCTGCATTTCTTCCAAGACAAATTTGTTTCTTTGTTCTTCTGGAAATCTATGGCCCTTTCAATATTCTTCACCAACACCATAATTCAATTGCATCAATTCTTCTCTGGTCTTCCTTATTCATTGTCCAGCTTTCACATGCATGTAAGGAGTTTGAAAATATCATGGCTTGGGTCAGACAATACTAAAAGTAAGGATATTTTACTCCTTAAAGTGACATATTCTTTAACATTTTAAAGAGGTGCTTTTCAGCAGATTTGTCCAATGCAATACTTTGTTGATTGCTTGACTACTGTTTCCATGAGTGCTGATTGTGGATCCAAGTAAAATTAGATCCTTGACAACTTCAGTCTTTTCTCCATTTACTGTGATCTTATCTATTAGGTGAGTTGTGAGGAGTTTCATTTTCTTTGTGATGAGGTGTAATCCATACTGAAGGTTGTAGTCTTTGATCCTCATCAGTAAGAGCCTCAAGTCCTCTGCTTCAGCAAGCAAGGTTGTGTCATATGCATATCTGCACATTGCAGATTGTTAATGAGACGTCCTCCAATCCTGATGCCTAGGCCTTTTCCACCTACTGTTGTTGTTGTTAAGCGCTGTGAACTTGGTTCCAACTCACAGTGACCCTGTATAGAGTTTTCAGGGAACTACTGGTAGGTTTGAATCGCCAACCTCATGGTTAGTAGTCAAGTGCTTATCCTACACCACCACACCAGGACTCCTTTTCCATATTGTTGTTGTTGTTGTTGTCAGGTGCCATCGAGTTGGAACCGACTCATAGCAACCCCATGCACAGCAGAACGAAACAATGTCCGATCCTGGG